TCCAGACCAGGCTTTTAAAGGAGACCTGCGTCTGTTAGGGACCCTGCTTTTATTGGAAGTTTTATTTTTATTTTAAGTTATATATTTGTTTTATTGCATCATTACGCTTCTTCCAAACATGGAGATCTGATGAAACAGTCCAGAGACGGAGACAATGTCTGAAGTTTCAGCAGGTAGAAACGTCCTTCAGAGAAACCAAGAGGGAACTTTTCAGAGCTTTCGCTTTACTCGAGTAAAGATTCACGACTTCTACTGTTACACAAGTATCTGTATTTCTACTTGAGGAAAGAAAGGGTTGTAATATTGGCCAGAATGTGGTGATACAATACAGGATTCAGTATATACACAGTATGTAGTCTGCAGACTGAGAGAGACAATTTAATCTAAATATTAATGAAATCGTAGACGGCCGAGAGCAAGAGCTGTGATGTTGTGATAAAAGTTTAATGTGAGACAGTTTTATAATGAAGCAGAGCTGAAGAGACGCTCTGCTCTACAGATCTCGTTCTTGGTCTGTCAGAATCACCACAATATGATGTTTTTGCCTCATCCTGAAGCTCTAAGTGGGACCAGGAAAGTTTTATTTTATGTTTATTTTCTGATCTGAAGTTAACAATATTGTGACGCCAAGCTTCAGTGTTGACTGTGAGAACATCAGTAACTTCATTAAAGTGAGGAATCACCTTAATGCACCATCAACAGTAGTTAAAGCAAAATCCATGATGATGAAGATAAAGAAAAACTGCATGTTTTAAAGGTGAGCTTGTGTCTTATTAAGCTCCTTCTGTAGTTCACACTCTGTTTATTGTGATATAATGCAGTATTTAAACATCTAACCATCATATGCATGAAATCTGAGTGAGAAAAGTACTGTAGCTCTTCTGGGCTGTCTGTGTACTCAGGCTGAAGTCCAACCTGTCGTCCTCTCTCTCTTCACGCTGTCCTTTCTATCAAGCATCTTGCACATTGTAAACATCTTTCCTGTACAGTTTTAAAACCTTTCTGTCTTTATCTTTATTTATTTATATTTCAAACTTCATTTTTGTGTGATTTATATCACATTTTTTTATCATAAATTCCTTGTTTGTGTAAAAACTTACTTGGCAATAAACCTGATATTGATTCTGAAGCTGTTGCAGTCACAAAAAGTCATAAAAAGCCTGAGAACTTTTACTTTTTCGTGCAACCAGAACAGCGAAATCTGTATTTGTTTTATAAAGACTGTAACAAATGTTCATATTGAGCAGCTGATGAGTTTAAACACAGAAAGACTGAAAGTTATGGAGCAGAAAACGACTTAAAGATCCTCAAAGATCCTTTAGAGTGAGTGATAACTGCACTGTCTGCATTCAGCCAGCAGGTGGCGACGTTGTATTTTATCTCCTGAAGTGTGTGTGTGTGTGTGTGTGTGTGTGGGGCATTCAGGTGCCATTGTGTCTCCTGCTTTGTCGTCTTTATAAACAAACTGAACACCAACTGCTGCGTGTGGGAGATCGAGTGTTTGTGACCGCGTGAGAGAAAGTGTGTGTGTGTTCCTCCTTTAACTCAAATACTTCATTATAAAAGCACTTTAGTGTTTATTTACCCTGATATTTTTAAGTTCAGTATATTATATTTTTATTTTAGGCATATAAAAACACTTAAATACACATTATGTTTAAATTATAACCTGTTTTATGTTAAATTGGTGATTAGAAGTTAGTTAATAAAATGTTAAATACAGGTGGAGTTATTTTAATGTCCTGTCTGTTATTTATACTTTTTATTGATTAAAGCTGAATCAATTTGTTATATAATCAATTAGTCTGTCAATAGATAATTAATCCACAATTTATCTGGATGATTAATTAATCGTTTCAGTAATTTATGAAGCAAAAACTTTCTCTTGTTTCAGCTTCTCTCGTCACTTCTCTTCGTCACGTTAGACACTAAACTGAACATCTGTGGACTGTTGGTCGACCAAATAATTAATAATAATAATTAAACTATTTACTGGCATTTTATTGACAAACTTTCAATCAGATCAATACATAAATCAATAAATCATTGTAGCTGTATGTCAAACTGTAAATGTGGTTTAAAAACTACATTATTTCCCTCTAAGATATGGAAGTATAAAGAGTCATGAAAAGTAAAAATACTTATTATATATATAATATATTATT